TGGAAGTTCCAGCCCAAACTAATTTGACATACCACAAAGCCTACAAATCAACACAGATATAAAATAAACAAATTTAAAACGTACAATGCAGTGGAGAAATCTTTTTTTTTTTGTTTAAAATGTGCAAAAGTCAATGGTCAACCAAGCATGACTTGAAGTTCAAATGATTATAAAAAACTATTTGAAGAATCAATATTGTTTTAAATCATAAGTTCAGCTTGATAATAATTGGATAATATCTTTGAGAATGGAGACATAATGATAATATATATGATGTGCACTTATGTTAAAAAATCAAAGAAAGTTCTATATACCATGTAGATAAGCGTTCAAATCTAATTACTATCCATTTAATACCACAAATTACAATCAAAGAATCAAATCTATAAACATTCAACACACCAAATCTCTAAAACATAATAAGCATATATATATGCAACGAGAGTGATTTTTAAACCATATGGGAAGACAACCGTAATGCTAGTATGTTAGAAAAATAGTGGAATAACGTAATAGCATAAAATTCAAATACGAAAACACACACGAGTTCTTTCTAAAAAAACACTTGAGTTGAACAGTTTTTTACTGAATAACTATGAACCGTTGAATCCCGAGCATATATATATAAGTAATCCTTTTTAAGAAAAAAAAATATTAACCGAACCGTTGATAAATTAGGTTTTTTATTAGGTTAATCATTTCCAGTTATATCTTTGATACTGTATATCATATACACTGAAATTACTTTTGAAATAATATGTTTTTTTGTTAAAAATTAAAAAATAATAATATGTTGTTGTTATGTTTTCCTGAAACCCTTGCTAATTATAGAAGATTATGTTTTCCAGATTATATCTACAACTAAAAATGGGTGAAAGAAGAAGCAACACGTGGAAATCTATGCATGTGATGTTTTGAAATATTTAAGGGATTTTTCACTGTTCTATTGTTAAAAAGGTTAAAAGAGGCTCGAGACTCGAGAGGGACCGAAAGATGTCGTGAATGGCACGCGTTTCCTTTTTCCATTTGTTACTGTGTTCCAATGATTGGTGAGTACTCTGTTCTTGTTTCCTGTTATATCTTTGTCAAAAATATTCAGCTTTTTTGTTTCTTGTTTTTAACTTTTTTCACTGTGTTAACGTCATGGATATTTTACCCACAAGCCATTTTATTGTGAATAAATAACCTTTGTATTTGTAATATTGATTTTTTTTTAAAACAAATTATTGACACCAATATTCAGGTCAAATTAGATGATGGATTGTGATGATTATTTTTTAAGTAAGATTTTTGGGCAATTCTAAATTCAAGTTATGAATATTAACGCTAGTGAATAAATTGCGCACTGTGGTAGAATGGTTAAAGATCCGAATTTCGTAGCATGTTTGAATATATTAGAATATTCGGATTCTCAACCATTCTACCACAATGCGTAAGTTCTTTTTTTTATAATAATGTTATATAGACTTGGAAAATTGAGAACTAATCTTTGTTTTATGAAACCATGTTTTGTGTGTTGTTGTGTCCATATACATAGAATCAATGTGTGAAATGCAATTTAGGCTTTATGCATAATGTTCTGAAATTATTTTAAAATAAAACCAAATTTGAAATGATGGTTTAGATCATCCCTATGGAACAAGCACGCCTGTCTTCTAGCTCTGACAAGACGACGTCAGATTATTGTTTAAATGTGCTTTTAGGCCCATTATAATTCAGCCCCAATCAACAAACAAAACCGAGAATCGGAGAAATTAGATGGTTAAGACGTGATTCAGTTTTCAATTTGGCAATATGATTACACGAGCTTTAGCTAAAAGTGTACTCCGAGGGCCGGCATGTGGAATGAGTCGGTTTGAGATTGATTTGTTACTTGTTAGCCTCTATTATAACATTCTGTTTCATGTTTAGAACTTTGCATGTATACTTCAGTTTTTTTTTATTTCGTTGAACAGCTTGTACTTTGCACCAATCAATCTTTGTTCCGTCAACTGGAAAAAGAAAAAGAAAATAAAAGGATCCTCGGTGTTTTCGTCTTTCGAATTTATAGAAATAAAAAAAGATACAATGTAAGTAATTAATTACCCAAAAAAAGAGAGAAAACACTATAGTAGAAGCAGAGAAATGAGAGACTCACCTAAACAACACAAGTTTCGTCTACATCACAGAAAAACAAAAACAAACACCACAAAATATTAAAAAAAGAAACAAAAACTTGAGCACTTATAAAATAGTCCTAAGAAAATCAAACCTTAAAGCCATTTGATATTTGGTATCTGGCTTTAAAACAAGTCTTCTTCTTCTTTTATCTACGCTAAAAAGATTCGGATCTTTTTTTTTTTCTTATATCTTCTTCGTTCTACCAAAAATCGTAAGGGTAAAGCTTCTGAGGGAATGATTGGCAGCAACAATTTTACTCGCATTTAATCGATCGGTAAATGTGGCGGACAAAGAGGAGAGCAGCGCGGAATCCAACTGTTCCGAGCATGAGGAAGAAACCGTAACAAATGCAAGCCATGTAACCGAAGAAGAA